CCTTATAGCCAGATGTGATGCCTCCATGTGGGGAGAAAGACCTCCGTGGTTCCCTGATGAGGGTCACTGTAGGGCTTGTCCCTGCGCAGTCAACACCGGAAAGTATGCAGTAAGGGCAACGGAGAAAGCAAAGCCACCCCTCTACTCTTAACTGAGATGGCTATGTGAGTGACAGTGAATGGGCCATAGGTACAGGAGGCCTTTAAGTCTGCTTGGCTAAAGTTCATTAGGTCACCTGGTTGTTCTCCTCTAAGTTAATTCCAGTAGATTTAGAGCCAGAGCTCAAGGGGTCCCAGGTGAGGTCCCTGGTTCTTTCCACTAAGCTCCAGCCATTAGAAGGTGTTCTGGGAACAAGCATTTGCCTTGTCCTTTCCCCACCCTCTATCGATCATTAGACAGTGCTCAACAGAATCAGAACTTGGCAGGAATTTCAGCCTGCAGCATGTAAGTTGAATATTTATTAGTACCATGAGCTGCTAAAAGGACAAACCAATCTATATTGGAAGAAATAAGACCAGAGTGTTCCGTAGAGAGGCAAGGATGGCAAGACTTAGTCTTACATACTTTGGACATGTCAGGAGAGACCAGTCCCTGGCGAAGGTCATCATGTTTGGTAAAGTGGAGGGGTGGAAAAAGAGGAAGGCCCTCGACAAGATGGACGGACACAGTGGCTGCAGCAATGGGCTCAGGCGTAGGAGCAATTGTGAGCAGGATGCAGAACTGTGCAGTGTTTCGTTCTGTTGTGCATAGGGTCACTGTGGGTTGGAGCTAACTCAGTGGCACCTAACAACAACATTTTCCTGATATGATTGGATTTTCTATTTCTCCATGTGTCTCTGTCTCTTGCTCAGGCTTCTCTCTAACCAGATTTTCTGAGAACATGGTTCCAGGACCAGCAGCATCAACATTACCTGGGCACCTGTTAGGAATGTAGATTTTCAGGCCCCATTCTATACCCACTTTGGTGATAAGCCTCAGAAAGCAATGTTTGTTTGTTTGTTAACTAAAAATGCACTCTGTTCATGCTTTAACAAGCTCTACCAGAGGCCTGGTAGCTAGTGGTTCGGAGTTGGGATGCTAACTGAAAGGTCAGCAGTTGAAAATCACCACCTGCTCCTTGGGAGAAAGATGGGGCTTTCTACTCTTGTCAAGAGTTACAGTCTGAGAAACTCACAGGAGTAATTCTACCCTACTCTGTAGGGTTGATATTAGTCACCATAGACTTGATGACAGTGAATTTGGTTTGGTCAGGCAGTTCTGAGGGCTCAATTTTGAGAATCTATAGTTTAAACTGTTAATAATCTTCTTCAAATTCAGATTTAATTGGCATTTGGTTAACCAAAAGCCAAGCCCACTACCATCTAGTCAATTCTGACTCATAGTGCACCTATATGACAGAGTAAAATGTTTCCCTTAGGCTTCTGAGACTATAAATCTTTACAGGAGCAGAAAGCTCCTCATTCAGAGGGGCTGGTGGGTTTGAATTGCTGACCTTACAGTTAGCAGCACGCAACTCATAACTCACTATGCCACCAGGGCTCCAGCACTGGTTAATGGCTTCCTAAATGTCAAGTAGACCTAGAATGGTCTGGTGATAGAAGTACAGGGCTATATTATAGAGGAAATGGAAGCCTAGGCAGGTTAAATGATTAGCTTAAGATTATAACTGAAATGTAGCAGAACTGAATTTGAATCCTTATGTCCCTACTTCAAATCCAAGATTCTTTCCATCCCATCCCATCACACAAAGCAACAGAAAAGCACACCCACTGGGAAATACTGACCTACGCAGGACAGATCTCAGGTGAGAGTCAAGTGGGCAAGTTTTGGTTTGATATGTTCCAGTCTCCCCATTCTGACTTCTTTGGATTCATAATTCCCCTTCCTATAAAGTTTGGCTACTTCCCTTTTTTATTTATCTTGTCCAAAGAGCTGAGTTACACAAAGTGTAACTCCTTTTCTCTCAGGGAGAGTTGCATTTTCCTATGCATACTTCAAGCCCAACGGAATAAATCTCTAATGGTAAAATTTGCAGCAGTTCAGTGGATTAGAGGTGGAAGGCAGAGATATTTGGTAATGCTGTTCAGTTACCAAATACCAAATCCTCTCTGCCTGGTCCACTCAAAAAGGCTAGAAACAAATTAAACTTGACCCTGACACCCTTAACCTTTATTACACTGAACCCTGAGGTGCTCCAGGCTGAGAATGTCTTTATGATTGAGCTCTTCAGCTGGCTGGTCAGTGGAATCTCGATGTGCTTTGTTCACTTGGTTTCTTCATAGATGACGGACTAACTTTGAAGGTCTTCTGGAAAGTAGGAACTCCACCACGGCTGACGGCTGACGCATACTGAATTCACTCTAGGCTGAAAGACTTAAAATAGGTCATCAGTTAAATACTTTTATGTTGAATCCATATAATGAATGACTAGTTTGCCCCCATCTCAAGTGACCCTACTTAAGACAACAAATGGGAGGGAAGTTCTATTCTAGCGGTTCTCAACCTGTGGGTCGGGACCCCTTTGGCGGGGGTCGAATGACCCTTTCATAGGGGTCACCCGATTGATAACAGTATCAAAATGACAGTGATGAAGTAGCAACAAAAATAATGTTATGGTTGGGGGGTCACCACAACATGAGGACCTGTATTAAAGGGTCACAGCATTAGGAAGGTTGAGAACCACTGCATAGAATAGAATCTAATCCTTCCAAGCTCGACCTTTCCCAGGCAGATTCTTCTGGGGTTGGTTGTCAGCATTTAATAGCACCTGGATGTGAAGCCGGGGCTTTGCTGGGAAATGCACACTCATGATGGTAGAGTCTCAGGCCAAAATCTAGCAAATACAAGGCTGTGACTTCAAGGAGGAAAAAAACAAAACAAACCTCCTTTCTGTTCACAGGTCCCTTGAGGCCATCTCCTAGCAAAGTGCTTCTCAGAGGAAGATTATGCAAATGAAGGAGGTTTAGATGTGGAGTGCGAACGGTTTGCCTCATCCTTGTGGTGTAGACAAAAGGAACCCCACCCTAACACACACCCCTCCTCAGTGACCTTTGTTTGTTTCCAGTTAACAAAATAAGGAGCCTTTTCCAGGTCCTCAATTGATACTCCAAAGAAAACTGCTTACCTTTTATTTCCCTTCCCCCAAATTATGAGAAAAGATCATGTTCTTGCTTTGGATCCAGGCTAGTATTAGCCTAGTGCCTGGAGCATCTCAGGGTTCAGTGTGATGAGGGTTAAGGGTGTCAGAGTCAATTTTATTTTGCTTCTAATCTTTCTAGTGGACCAGGCAGAGAGGATTTGTTATTTGCAGTGTCATAGGGCCAGGAGTTAGGGGGTGGGGAAGGCAAAGGCTGAAGAATTAGAACAGCTTTATGCTTATGTTAAAGAAAATATCTGCCAGCTTTCAGACCCAGGTTTTTTAAAGTAACTATTTAGTTAATACAGGATAATGCTTTTGATAAATATTCTGTTCAGCAAAACCAGGTTGTTGCTGGTCTCTTCTGGTTAAAATTATTTGTTACTCCACCCGACCCCACCCTGTCCAACTCTATGGAACCTTGGTGGCATAGTGGGTTACGGGTTAGTCTGCTAACCAAGATGTCAGCAGTTCAAACCCACCAGCCACTCCTTGGGAGAAAGATGAGGCTCTTTCTCATCGTCCCCTTGGAACGATTTGCAGCCTCAGAAACCCACAGGAGTATTTCTGCTCTGTTCCCTAGGGTCACTATGAGTTGGAATCAACTTGAGGGCAGTGAGTTTGGTTTGGTTTTGGCTCCAACTCTGGGTAATGTATGGATGCTTTATTTGGGGGTCAGAAGGCTCAGTACTTGCTTGATATTTTAAAAATACATTTTTAAATTTGAATTTTTATTGTGAATTCGGTGAAAGCTTATAGAGCAGATCATCAGCTTTATATTCAGCAATTCTTAGATATTTTGTTTCATCTCATCCATTGCAATTCCCTCCTCCTTTTTGTCTGTAACTCTTCTGATCTGTGTCCTTGGGTAAATGCCCTTTTGATCACAAATGGTTGATTATTCTAAGGTATGAATACTCCCCCTAGTATTATTGTTTCCCTTATAGACCTGTCTATTATTTGGCTGAAAATTGTACTATATGGGCGAGTCCAATTCCAGACTTAAAAACTGATTTAGAGCCATAGTCTCAGGGGTTCGACCAATCTCTTATCTGACCAGTAAGCCTGGTCTCTTTTATGATTTTGAGTTTTGTTCTCCCCTTCTCTCCTGGTCTGTCGAGGACCTTATAATGTGATCCCTTTCAGAGCAGTTGGTACTGGTACCCAAGTGCCATCTTTTAAATTTTGAAATTTGCAATATTTAATCCCCAAATAGAAAACCATCCATTCTTCTTTAAGAAAACCTAAGGTGGATTGTTGAACTAAATGATAGGCATAATCCATGACACTGAGTATACATGTAAAGAATGTTGAAATGGCAGCTATTTTTTTGTTACATATATATTTACCACAATTAAATTTTTCTAAAACAAATGTTCTAAGAAGAAAATGAGACCTTGTATAATAGATCTCAAAATCGTATATCACCACCCCACCTCAAAAAATAATATTAAGGCTTACGAAATGCCAAATTACATTTCAGTTTGATTTTTCTTGAATCAGAATGTTCTGTGCTTTCAAATAGAGCAGCAGCTGAGGATTCTAGAGTAGGATTCTCATTCTCCTACAGAATGATGAGAGACAGAGCTCCAGGAGTTTATGCTTCTCTGGCACTTTTCTTAAACAAATTAAGGCCTGGCTCAGCTGGTTGTTTCTCCCCAGGGAGAGGGCCAGGAGGGAACGGACTCTCTGCCCACTCAGAGCTGGCTGCTGGGGGACACGTGGACAAGTGCTGGATGCAGAGGGCCTTGGTGCCACTGCCCAGAAAGCCCATTCTGTGACTTCATCCAGTTGGAGGAGTGGCAGTGTGGTGGGTGACTAATTTAGTTCTTTGTCAATGCAACACTCCTCGTGCCCTGGACAGGAACGGCTGGAGGCGATGATGCGCAGATCCATTGAGCGTACACAGCAGCTGGAACTGAAGAAGAAGTGCTCTTGGGGAGGAGCACTGGCTTCAAGCTCTGGCAGCCGTGATGGTGAGTGTCTCCATGCTGCCGGCTCGCCCCGCATTGCAGGGTGGTGGAAAACACGGGCGGCACCCAGAGGAGCTCTTTTTACAGCTTTCAGGGGACTGTTTTCAGATAGAAGGTTTAAATGTGCCCAGCTTCTTCCTTCATTTCTCAAGAAAGGAATCTGTGCATTCCTCTTGCCATGGCTGGGTTTTAAAGGAGAAGAAAATGTCTAGAAGTCTAATGTAAAAGCAAAGAAAGTAAACGCAGACCTAGTTAAACACCTCCTGGCAGCTCCAAGGTCATGTTAGGGATGGAAGGTGGCAGAGGCTCCATTACTGCTATACAGGACCTGGGTGGCAGAGCAGCAGGTCCCGGTTTCCCCTTCTCCTCACTAATTGTTTGTTCTTCCAGTTTTGTTTCAAGGTAATGTGTTTATTCATCTTTAATATTTAAATGTTTAATTTAAAGTATGGATTGTTACTAATCACTAGGTAGGTGACTGCCCATTTTGAATGTCTGCCTGCATTTCAGTAGCCTCAGTATTAAATTAAACAGGTTGGAGCAAATGGATTTAAGTTTATAATACAGTTTCTTGCCTTTGCTGCATTGTACTTTTAACAATGTATTTGGACAGTAACTATACTTTTTTTCTTTTGGGGGACAACCCATTTTAATGCCTTGTAAAATGTTCCTATTTAAAACTACAAAACAACCAAAAGTGGGATCTTTTTTTATTTTACTTTTCTTTGCTTGATTTCTTGCTGTGTAGGTGAATCAGAAAATACCCCATCCCTTCCTGTAGGTTTAGCAGCCAGCACCCTCCCTGTGGACCCAGGCACCGCTGCCACTGCTGCTGAGTCCACCAATGGTATATCCGAACCAACATTGCCGGGCCATAGCATTTTGTCATAAATATTCCAACAATCCTCCTCCATCTCTAGAGTGTCTATTGCAAGCAATTTTTCAATTTACTTCTTAAAGAAGTCTGAACCATTATAACTTTTTTTTCTAGAATTGTGAATGACATAGCCACATGTCTTTCTTTGTTCCTTTGTCATCATCGAGCTACGCATGCCTTTCATCCTCATGTAGTGGACATATTTCATCCTTGGCTCACTCATTTCTGCCTTGAAAAATATCGTCAATGTTTAACTTTTGTACATTTAGATATTCAATACTCATTAATCATCTGTGTTAGACAGAAAAAAGTAGAGGGAGAGGGGTGAGATTACTTCTGGTCACCAAAACCTTTTTTTCATCTAGCTTACAGGGAACACTTGAGCTTCATGGTAATGCTGTGGATTCTTAGAGGGCTGTTTGAGAAGGATAGGTATAGAAGCAAATTTTGGTCAGTCCTAACACTGGGGACCCAAATAGTTGATAATCTGGCTTTGTTCATGATTCCATCTTTCTGTTGAATATGATTTCCTCTGGTTTGGAGACAGGCCTGCGAATTAGATCAACAGCACAACTAGCACAAAAACTTTGCACCCATTTAATACTGATTTGAGAAATCCAGCCCATCTTATGCTCATAAAGAAAAAACAAGATTTAAAAGGAATGCAATATTTACCAGCAAAGCAGATGATCACATTAGAGCACTGTGCATCAGTATTCTTGGTTTTCCGGCATTCCTTTCACAAAGAATGACCACTATTGGTATTGCTTAGTGGCAGAACGTTTGCTGCACAGCCAAGTTAACTATAGTTATTGACACTGGCTTCTCTCCCCATAGAGGTACCGGTAGAGTTGAATTATTACCCATTGAGAAATTAGCATCCTGAACCAGGACCAGGATAGGGTGGGGTGAATGTGATACTACTCATCCTGACTTAAGTATTCAGGTCAGGCACAAAATTATAGGCAGTTCCAAAAATCTCAGTAACCAAGATAAAATTGCTTTGCTTTAATATTTTTAAAATAAAATTAATACAAAACAATATACAATGAACAAAATATCACATTTCTAAAGACCAGTACCAATGTGCCATATCATTGGAGACAAAAGGAAAATGTGTACCCCTTTCTGCATGGCTTTATGAATTTTTAACAGTTAATTTTTTTCAGATCATCAAAACTTACTTCGATTTTCAATATTTTAGTTATACCGAAAGAAAATCATTGGGGAAAAATTAGCAATTTTTAACATAATAGTTATATATCTATTTTACTTCAGTTTAGGTTAATTAAAAATTATTTCAGATTGTCATTTGGTCAAAAGAAATAGCCAAACATAGCAGTTCTCTCAACTGAAAATGAGATGAGCCAAGGAGTATATTTTGCAAATGTTATTAATGAGTTTACTTCCATTAAAGCCGGGGACACATAATTGTCTTTTTGCCACAGGCTCTGAAATGGCTGCACTCAGCACGGTCAGTACCTCTTAGTTTGCTGTGTAGTTTGACTTAGAAGCCCATCTAGAAATAATGGCTGGAAAACGAGAACACCAAAGAGAAAATGAAAGCACCAGGTTCATGTATGAAAATCCAGCAGCATATTAACTCCATCTCTTGATGAGACGGAGCAGCCAAGTGCTAATGGTCATTACGCTTCAAATATAGCTCCTTATATTAGAATTCACACTCCTGTCAGACCTGAGCTACAGATAACCTTCAGATAAAGGTCAATTTCCATTTGTAACTAGTCTCAAATAGACCACAGACCAGTTTCTAGTAGCAATTTGTCTCTGATTCTACATTGGTTTGGGGTACATGGGGTGAAAATATGTTTAAACATCATTGGACATCAGGCAACTGATTTGCTGGTGGGATTAACCTGGCTTTAGTGGAACAGTTTAGTAAGCTTGAATGTTTGAAATTGAAGAGAGGCTCTCGCTTCAGACCAGTGGCTGCTATAACCTGGGCATTTCCAAATTAGGATAATTAGCTCTCAGGGGGAAAGAAGTACACTGTGCTGTGCCCTAGAGGCTCAGGGTGGTAGGGAACCGGAAGAGTACTTAAGGTTATATGTGTTCTATACCAGTGTCTTTGTTGATGTCAACATCGGTGCCGTTATTGCATTTATCTGCAGCTTGTGACAAGCTTTCAACTTCGACCATGAATTTGCCAAAGCAGATGGAGCCTCCAATGAGTAAACGCCTGTCTTCATCCACTGCAGCAATACCTTATTCTCCAGAACGAGGCAAGTGAACTTGTAGACCTGGTCTTTCCAATTTCTTCTTTTTTCATGAACATCTTAAAGCTGGCATTTGTGAGATCCCCCTCTTGTACCTCCTACAAATAGCACCTTGGTTTTAGGCTGTGCTCTGAATGTGGAAGCCTCAGGGCTGCACTAGTAGTACATTGCAAGGAACCAGGTTGTGGCTGAACAATAAGAATGAATAGCATTCTTCCAGTCTGCCTAGGAATCAATTCACCAGTGGGCAGGCATAACTTAAACAAATAACCATCCAGTTAGTGATGCCATGTGTTTTATTATTAGCCAGAAAGAGCAGACACGATGACCCATAGGCAAGTGGGAAAATTGGATATGTGAAGAAACGAGGCCTGTGGTCCCTCAGGCCTGTTCATTTTTTAGTGAAAGCAGAGCCTTGGAACTAATACAAGGCCTTTAAAGGAGGAAAACTATATGCAGCCTTTTCAGGCACTCTGCTTTGAGGTGTGAGAAGGGCGCTATGTATAGGACATGTGCCAGTTTGAGAAACGAAAGAGGTATAACACCTTCTGTGCTCTTATGCACCTCTCCTAGAGGCTCAGACAAGTCACTAACTTACAATTTTCAGGGTATGGATGTTAAGAGAGGGAGGGAAGGGAGATCAATGGATAGTTGAAAGCACTGTTCAAGAAACAGTGGATGCTAATTTATCATGTCACTTCATCACCAAGGGATGAGGATGATATTTGTGACTTTGAAGAGGCCCATGTGTCTTCCTGGTTGTTTCATGGCTTTCATTGCTGATGGAATTCTCATCTTGTAATTCCATCACCGGGGCATGTCCTATGTGTCAGAGACCCTGTAAGTGTCTCGACGCTGCTTATCTGTAATGGAGTCTATGTCGAAGCACAGGAAGCAGTAAATAATCAAGAGCTGGCTCATTAGTGAGTGTAGTTCATGTTTTCATTAATTCACTGGTTACAAATTGATGCTACCTCTTTTGTTTTGCAATGGCTTAAATATAAAGATGGCAATATATTGTTGACAACTGAAATATCCACTTGCAGAGCATAAACTCTCCCAAAACTATATAGTGATTTCTTCGAAAAGTGAATCCATTGCAATACAGTTCATTCTAAAACCATAGAAATGACATTTAGGTCGCTGAATTTTAGATTATGATTATTACTATCTCCACTAAAACCACTAATCAATGTATGGATTGTTATAAGAGCTGTAAGATCCCCCAACAAAATGATTTATTAATTTAAAAAACTGCTAGCCAAGTGATGATTTTTCATTTTATATGTCTCATTTAGTTTTTGCCCTTATTTACATGGAAAAGGTATCCTTTTGATTCTGTTATGAGACTGCATATTTCATGAACCAGATCAGTGTATTAAGAAATATCTCTTAATAGAGGACTTAAAACAAGTGTTTGGTAGAAGGAATGGTTTTTCAGCAGTAGATCTATTTGGTGGGTAACTGGGTTTCTTGAGCACATCTTTCTTGGGAGTTGGGCTGATTAGAATGACACAGGTCCCTATGCTATAACAACACATTCAAGAAATCCTGGCACCCCAAGAGAATGATCACAGTCCCCAAACTCTAAATGACACAGTGTTTATTTCATTTTACTCTGAGACAAGCTCTAACACCCTTTCCTAGACTCTCTTGAATTTATTTTCAGCATTTTCTCTGTCATACAGAAGCAAATTTACATCCTATACTGTGCTGCTTTAAAATGGTTTTATTTAATTTTGCTGTATGTTTTCATTTGATCCCCTCTTTCAGCTCATCATATGCACCTTAGTCCCATGGAAACCTTTCTTGTTGTATAATTTTTGATAGCCACACAGGCTTCTTTAGCCAAGAGCAGAAGTGCACCCAGGCTCTCTGAGCAGACCAGTAACTCGGGTGAAAGAGACCAAGCTGGTGGCACTAAAGGACACACCCGAAGAGGTGTTGGTCTATATTTGAGTGATTCCTGAATTTTTGGACTTCTATTACTAGTTTTTGGCTTCGTGGAATGTCTCCAACAGTTAATAACTTTTTCTATCCACCAGTGGTTGACTATTACTGTGCTGCTTTTAAGTGTCACCAAGGTAAGTCAATTATTTTATGACAGGGTGTGTGGATGAGGAAAACCAAATCTTCTTGGTGAGCTCTGGAAGTCACTAGATTCTTCTTAGGGATGATTTGGCAAAGTAGATTGGATACCACAGTCTCAGGAGTTTTAAGACCAGCTTTGCCAACTAGCTCTGTGACTCCATTGTCATGAGGCTAGAATGAGATAATGCATGTGAATGAGATGGCACAGTGACTGGCACAGAGTAAGAGTTCAACAAATGTCCATAGTCCTGTTGCTCAAAAGTGTGGCCCAGGGATCAGCATCACCTGGGAGTAGAGTAGACCCCACCAGACCTGCATTTAATTCTGAGAAGCACTGGACGAGCAAAGGCCTGCCGGTATCTATGCATCATCATGCATAGAAGCCCAGATTAATGAGGGCCAGCTTTCAAGAAGAGCAGCATTATATTTACATGATGTTGGGTCTGCTCTCAGTTCTCCAAATAGTGTTTTCAGTTAGATGACACAAAAACTGTTACCTAGGTGTGACAGCTTTTGAAAAGTTGGACTATTTCTGCAGAGAATATATACAATGACCAATAATCCCACAGCAAGATAGTCGACATCATTAGCTAATGCAAATTAAAACCACAATGAGATATCACTTTACCCCCACTCAACCCATTGCCCTTGAATCTCTTCCAACTCCTAGCACAGAGTAGAATTGCCCCATAGAGTTTCCAAGACTTTAATATTTATGGGAGAAGATATCGTATCTTTCTTCCATGGAGTGGCTGGTGGGTTCAAACTGCCAATCTTCAATTAGCAGCCAAACACTTAATCATTGCACTCCAAAGCTGTCATAAAAATGACAGCTTTGGAAATCCAACGAGGCAGTTCTGTTCTGTCCTATAGGGTTACTAGGAATTGGAATCGACTTGATGGCAATGGTCAGAATGGCTAAAATAAAAGAGATAGATAATTACAAAATCTGGAGCACATGTGGAGGAATTGGAACTTTCCTAAAGTGCTGAGAATGTAAAATGGATAATGCTTCTGCTTTGGAAAATAGTCTGGCAGATCCTCAAACAGTTAACCATAGAATTACCACATGACTCACCAGTTCCACTTCTTTGTTACATCCTCAAGAGAAATGAGAATATACACTCTCACCAAAACTTGCACACAAATACAGCAGCACGATTCATAATAGCCACAAAGTAAAAACAACCCCAAAAGTCCACCAGCTGACGAACTGGATAAACAAAATGCAGTGCATGCATGCAGTGGGATATTATTCAGCCATGAAGAGAAATGAAGTTGTGATACATGCTACGACATAGATGAGCCTAGAAAACATTATACTAAATCATAAAAGACCACATATTATTTTATTTCTATGAAATGCCTAGAATAGGCAAATCCATAAAGACAGAAAGTAGATCAGTGGTTTGCAGGACTATGGGTGGGGAAAACTGGTAGTGATGGAGTTTGTTTGGGGATGTTAAAAATACTCTAGAATTAGACTGACGGTTGCACAACCACTGAATTAAATCCTTTAAAAGGATATATAAATATCTACCAAAAAAAAAACAAAAACTGTAGGAAGTAGAGAGTGTCTCCATTTTGAGAATGGGAAATGAAGTATTCAATTTGGAGATTCCTGTAGTTTCATTGGTCTCCCTGTCAAAGTCCTGTTCAGTAAACCTGTGCCTGCTTTCAGCTCCACACAGCTTGCACTGAGGCAGAAACAGATTACTGCAGATAGGCAGCTTTAAGTCAGGTGCGAGCAATTACTGCTGCTACTGCTGCTAGACACTATTAAGTCAGTTCCAACTCATATAATGACACTGCAAACAACAGAACAAAGCACCATCCTCACAGTTGTTTCTGGGTTTGAGCCCATAGTTTCAGGCTCTGTGTCACTCCAGCTCATTGAGGGTCTTCCTCTTTTTCACTGACCTTCTAATTTAGCTAGTATTATACCCTTCTCTAGGCATTCGTCCCTTTCGTATAATATGTCTAAAGTATGTGAGATCAAGTATTACTATCTTTACTTTTAAGGAGCATTCTGGCTTTTCAAGACAGATTTGTTCCTCCTGGCTGTTGTTATGTGCCTTCAAGTCAGTTCCAACTCATAACAACCCTATGTACAACAGAATGAACCTCTTCTGCCTTCTGGCCGTCCATGAGATATACTCAGTATTCTTCACTAACACCATCGTTCATTTCTTCTTTCGCCTTCCTTATTTATTGTCCAGTATTTTATGCTTCCGAGATGATGGAAAATACCACAGCTTGGGCACATCTTAGTCCTTAAAGTTATAGGTTGTTTTTTTTTAACACTTTGAAGAGCTCTTTTGCAACAGATTTACCCAATACAGGTCTAAGTAATTAGGATTTGTGAATTCAGGAGTCCAAACAAGCTATCAGTTTTTATTCAGTAGCAGTAAAGCCAGGACCTTTGGGAACATACAGCTGTGTACCAGGGCCAAGGGACAGACAAGACTTTTCTAAGCCCTTTTTACCTCATCAACCTTAGTATCCAAATGGACCCACTCAAAAATATACACAGCAGCCTTGAAAGCCATTAGCCTCCAAGGTTCAGATGAAATCAGATTAGTAACTAAAAATTGCTTTTTAAAGCTCCAAAAGTCAATCTTCATCTAGAGATTGCCTCTCTTTTCCCAGAGGCTTCCAACAGGCAAAAATAATAGCAAAAATCATCAGTTATGGAGGTTTGTTCTGTTCCTAGTATATAGAGTTTAAATTCCAACTCACTCAACTGGTGACAAAGAATAAGGAAGTTGAGTCCCATTCATATTTAGAGAAGAAAATGAAAACCAAAGATACCACTAGCCTATATTCCTTCACCTTCCTGACCCTCATGGCCAAAGGTCGTCAGGGAATCCAACAAGCCACTTTGCCTGGAGATTGAGGTATCATTTAAAAATTTCCTAAGTTACTTTTACCTCTTCTTGCTCTCATACCTTGAATAATGCCATAATATAGCTTATTATTTCCTACCCTTTCATCCTTCCTTTTTGCAAGCAGTGCTTTGACCATATTTCAGTGAGTCAGGGTTGTTCTAGTGATGCCCCCTCCTGACACCAACTGTGTTGTGATCACGAAAGTCACTTCCAAGTTCACTAAGTTGCTAGGAGGATTCACAGGACTTACTACGTAGTCATACTCACAGTTACGCCTTTTTATAGTGAAAGAAAACAGAGCAAAATCAGCAAAAAAAAAGTATAGAGGATACCAAGCACAAGATCCCAACCTCTTCATCTCAATGGAGTCCCACAGGCCGTGCTTCATTCTCCCAGCAGAGAGTTGTGGTAACATGTGAAATGGCTACCAAGAAAGTTCACTAGAGACTCAGTGTCCATGCAGGGTTTCCAGAGGAGAGCAGCCAGGCATGCTCTGCTAATTTCTCTGTGTATGGAAACCAACGCTTAGTGTTAAGTAACCTGTCCAAAGTGATCCAGCTGTTCAATGGCAATGCTAGGTAGAGCTGGCTCTAAAACCTGGACTTTTAACCCCCGAAAAGAACATGACCTGAGCATTTAGCCATATGTGAGCCTTTTTAGGATTAGGACATCTAATCAGTTCAAAGGGTTCATTAATTGCAATTGTAAACAGAGTCATGTATGCATTCCATAGCATCCAAATCTGTTGTTTGAGATACTTTAATCCAAGTTGGAAACAAACAGTCATGCCCCACTCAAAGATGGACAGGTGACTGCGTTGATTTGAATGTGTTACTTTTCACAAGTCCTGCCAAAGTCCTTCCTCCTAAAAGTTTCAGGAAACATGATACTGAAGATTGGATTATTGGTGGTACTCTCGAGAGCAACGCATATTCCAAGTAGTACAGTCAGCTGCCATCTTCAAGAAGGGCATGGCTATTTGTTTCCTACTCCAAGTACAACAGGCAACAGATTTGGATGCTATGCAACAGATATGTGATCTTTGTTGAAGCTGGCGATTACTGAACCATTTTGAATTGATTTGAAGCCCTGCTTATGCTTATCCATTCCTTGTACAGTTGAAAATATGGTATGATTTTAGAACAATAGATTGTTCATGTCACATTTTAACAAATGCAGTGTTTCCCACAGCTCCATTTATTTCTGTCTGTGCTCTGTGTCTCTCTGGCTATAATACTGTAACTCTCTAGTATATCATGCCTGTCCTCATGTAGCTCCTGCTGGCGCTCTCAAATCATCTTACAAATCATCTCCCACTCGAAATGCTGAGAGAAAGAAGACTCCAACTTCTGGCACAGGAGAATCAGGAAAAGGAGCTGCTGTGGGAGCTGAGGCCCCTCTGGTATGTTTCAGACCCATTCATTCCTACCCTTCTGGCGGTGGTTTCTCTTGACAGTATGATTCCTTCCTGCCCCCGATTTGGGATTTGAGGTTTCATCAATTTCCAGGGACTGTCCAAAGGCAGTTTTAGTTTAAAATCTCACCCAACCTTTGACAATCATTTGTGTTCTTGCACGCTCCTAAATTTCAGCTCCTTGAAGCAAATTCCTAAAGACCTTATCCATGTACAGCCTGACTGCCAGAGGACAGGAGTCAGTAAGACTGGTCTGGATGTCCTTTCTTTGCATCTTTAGACATGTCTGATTCTGCCTTGCCTATATGGGTAATTAGAACTAAGATTCTAGGTCAACTTTCATTCACAACAATGTCCTTTGAACTTTCTTGATGGCATAATGATACCATCAGGAAAGCAAATGTTGAACAGATATCTCCAATCTGTGTATATTTAGAACTTATATATACCGTACTATTGTTATTGATTGCTGTGTTACAAAGCCCCTAACTATAGCAGCTTAAAACAACAAATGTTTATTATATCCCAAGTTTCTTTGGGTCAGAAATTGCGATTAGCTTAGTAGGATGGTTCTGGTACAGGGTCTCTCAAGTGTCTGGGGTAGGGGTGGGGGATTATGGACAAGATGCCAGCTTGTCATCTGAGAATTTAACTGGTGTTCTTACAAGGTGGAGAGAGAGCGAGAGAGAAGGAAGTTACACACCATTACTTCTTCCATATGCTGTTTGTTAAAAGCAAGTCCTGAAGAGAAAATCACACACATCAATTCCAACTTGTCGAGACCCTACAGGGAAGCGTAGAACTTTCCTTTGGGGTTTCTGGGGCTATAAAGCTTTACAGGAGCTGAAAGCCTCATCTTTGTCCCATGGAGCAGCTGGTGGGTTCAAACTGCTGACCTTGCCATTAGCAGTCCAACTCAGAATCCACTATTCCACCAGGGCTCTATTCACATTCAAGGGGAGGGAAATTAAGCTCTGCTTGTTGAAGGAAAGAGTGTAAAAGAATCCGGTACCTATTTTAAAGCTACCACATAATTGTATAATTGTACTGTTGAGTATTGTGTTAGTTCGGGTAGACTAGAGAAACAAGCACAGGGAGACTCATGTGTATAAGAAAGAGCTTTATATAAAAGAGCAATTGAATATTGAGAAAACATCCCAGCCCAGTCCAGATCAAGTCCATAAGTCCAAAATTAGCCCATATGTCAGATACCAATCTATAAATTCCTCTTCAGGCTCATACAACACATGCAATGACGCCAAATGCAGGAAGATCACAGGCCAGTGGGTGCAAAGTCTTGTAGATCCAGTGGCCGTGGAAGCATCTCAATGTTGGCAGGGGTCTCTACGTGGCTCCTCCAGCTCCAGGACTCTAGCATAGCTCCAGGTGTCAGCAGGAAGACAAAGCAGAGAGTCTGTGTGTATCTGGCCTTCGGTGAGATATTTATGTCCGTGGCACCTCCAAATGAGGTCATCAAGCTGCAACCTGATTAACAGGCTAGACTCCACCCCTTTTCAAGTTGACAACTGTTTATGTAACTACCACAGGCATTAAAAAATATATATCTTTTAAATCCTGTTACCTCAAGGTTCTTGACTAAGACATGAAGGTTTTGGACTCTTGGGTTTTGCTATAGGATAGATCACTATGGAAAGAGGTTGGTGTGTGTAGGTGAGGGGGCTAAATAAGGATTTACTGCAGAAAAGTAGGATAAAGGGAGAAGGTGACTGACCTTCGTGCACATACTGTGTGCACTTATGTCCATCCCGTTGGACTTGAAGGAAGTGGGTGATGAGGAAGACTTAGGGGGGTCAGTAGGGCTGGAGGAAGTAATTGAAATCCCCATTATGCTATATAGATAGATAGATAGATAGATAGATAGATAGATAGATAGATAGATAATTGTTCAGGGTCCACAGCTCACTGTTTTGGATTTTATAACCATATTTTTACCCTTTTGCAATATTTTTGCTTTGATTGCTTATCTTTGTGCTCTTTCCAGTTTCTATATGTCCAGAACCAGATTATGCTCTTTGCCAGATAACAAGAAAGAAAAAAAAATCTTTGTATTTTGTGGCTGAATTTTTTTCCAACTGGATGACTTGTGCTATCCTGCAAAGATTCCCCCTGTATGAGCACTGTAGCTTTGTTTTGATCCTCTGACAGAAAGATGTATTGCTGTTCCATTTGGGATCCTTTGGGAATTGTAGAAGCGATGACAATCAGGAGCCTCAGTTACCCTGTCTGGTATCCCCTTGCAGGTGGAGAAGGCAAAGAGGGAGCCTCGAGCAGTAACTTCCAAGACCACCGTGTCCCTGGGATCACCACTGAAAAAATGTGACTTTTCAACAGGCCTTTCTAAGAAACCATCTTCTCCTGTAAGACACAAGTAAGTGTCTTTCCCTTTGTCCAGACAGTCTGATTCCAACTCCTTTTAAGTGGGGATTTGTGTGATTCCGCTCAAAACCATGGCCACACCTAAAAGGGCAAAGTGGACAAATGGTGTTTGTGCTGCCTCACTTGGTTTTCTGTGCATCTCCTGGAAAATGATGGGCATTTCTTGCCTGGTCAGTATGGAGCGTGGATTTACCAGGCTGGTCTTTGCAGCATTTTCTTGTTAGGTTCTTGAATTCTGTCAAATTTTGGGGGTATTCTGTCTCCTGAAACTGTGCCCAGAATGAACTTAACTGCATTTTGCTTGTACTGTCTGTTGCTCACTTGCTTCCTCGCACTCTTTCACTCACTACCTCAGACAGACAGGGAGACAATAGTACCTGAGAAACAGTAATAATAGACCAGCCGTGATCAGCATTGTGGACGTTTACAGAGCAAATTAATTTCCTATTCAACAATTTATGCACATTTTATTTTACAGCATTAGACATGATCCCCTTGCTATAAAAGCACATTTCCCACTTCTTCCTTGGTTTACTGTTTCTATTGGCCCATCTTTCCTGACTCATCAAATTTGTTTTGGGGGAAATGTGTCCTTTTGAGCTTTTATGGCACTTTTTTTTCACTTTATAAGCTTATCTATTGTTTGACTGAAAAGTGATCTCCAGGAATAGGTTCAGTTCCAGGTCTGAAGGGTATCTGAGGGCCAGAGCCTTGGGGGTTCTACCAGTCTCTGTAAGACCAGAAAATCTAATCTTTTTCTTAATGATTGTGAATTTTGTTTTATATTCTTCTCCCACTCTCTCCAGGACCTTCTATTGTGATCCTGATCAGTGTGGTCAGTAGTGGTCACCAGGTTACCATTAGTCCTATGGATCAGTTGTTTTCTTTCTGTCTGTCTTTCTTTTTTTCAGGATCAGTTGTTTTCTTGAGTCTTTGGTTTTCTTAGCTCTTCTTTGCTCCAGATGGGAAGACTGAGGTCAATATATTTTAGGTTAAGAATTGAGTGAACGCACCAATGAAATCATGTAACTAAAATATTTGCACTAACTGTGGGACCACTGTTTTTTTTTGTTTTTTGGGACCACTGTTTTAAGTTAGTAAAATATCGTATTGATAACAGCTGACAAGAGTGACCCAGTAAATAGTTCAATCCAGCAATGGAATGAACACATATTTAGTAGTAGTGGTTGAAAGAGAGGGATATGATTTGATGTGGGAAAAGAAGTCAGTTTTATAGAGATACCAGTATAAACCTTGTTTAATATAACAATTTGGTTCAAACAACAAAGGGTAAAACATGAATTTAATTGACACTTAGGATTTTCTTTAAAATATTTAAAGGTGACATTAGCTGTGATTTCTAATTTGTTGCTTTTGCTAGTGACTTTTTCACTATTACTCTGTTCAAAGATCATTTTCATCGACTATTAAAACCCGTTCCTGATGTGCCTTTCCCACATCCATAGCACATTGCTCAATTAGTGGCATCTTTTTTGTGTGAGAAAGAGAAAGTAGCTTTATTGTCAAGTGTGGAGTAAAGAGCCAGGAGGATCGTGGACAGCCTCGTTTCACATGTTTATAGGATGGATCATTTGGAAGGAGTATGCCAGCTTTTTTTTTTAATTAATGGAAATAAGTTTAGCCTGGTTTGGTGGGTTTCACTCACAAAACCAAAACTCACTGCCCCCTACTAAAAAATAATGACTAGAATTCAAGCACCCTATGGATTGTGATAAGAGTTGTATGAGCCCCTAATAAAATTATTTTTTTAAATAAAAGCATCTTATTTTCTAATACTCTTTGAGTCTACTTGGTGGGCAGTACAATCCCCATTTCCCATTGTCATAGCTCACATCCCTTTCAGTTTCCATCCACTTGTCACTTCTGTGATAGTAATTTGAGATGCTGACATGAATAGAGTAAAATCTAGTTCATATTATTTTTTTGCCAGTTCTACCCCTCCCTTTTCCTTGCTGTTGACTCATAGTCCCTGTATGGACATTAGCTTGTACGTTTCATTATCATTATAAATTTCACTGAGATGTGAAGTGGGTTGCTGCCCTCTACAGATATGAAAATTATATTCTTGGATGCGAGCTCTTTCTTCATGTTGAAAATCTCAAAGAAGGTTGTGTTACCACTATTAGTTCTAACTATTTTATATTTTTAAAGGACACATCAGCTGAATTTTATAACGTTGTTTTGTGTAGGTTTTTTTGCCCAAAAAGACGAACAAAATTCCAGGGTTTTAAAAAAAATCAGTTCATTTTAGAATTGCTGTTGCTATTTTAACTGTATCTAGAGTAGTAATTGGTACATTGACTAGACCAGTTGCTGTCAAGTCAATTCTGACTCATGGCGACCCTATGTGTATCAGAGTAGAACTGTGCTCTATAGACTTGTCATAGCTGTGATCTTTGGAAAGTAGATGGCCAGGCTTTTCATCTGAGCCATTTCTGGATAGATTTGAACCTCCAGCCTTTTGGTTAGCAGCTGAGCACAGTAACCAATTACACCACACAGGAACATAGTAAGTGCTTAATTAAATGAGCCCTGGTGTGTAATGGTTAGTGCTCAATTGCTGACCAAAAGGTTGTCAGTTCTAACTCATTAGCTACTCTGTGGGAGAAAAGACCTGGTAATTGGCATCTGTAAACAGTAGACAGCCTGGAAGCCCAACTCTGTTATATAGGTCGCTATAAGTTTCTGCTGAATGCCACAGAAAATCCCAACATGAGTGAGAACAATCTCCATCAAGGAGCCTCATTGCTAGGAGGGAGGAGAGACATGTACACAAATGACTGCAGTCCTGGCCCCATTCCAAAGATCTGCCACCTTCTCATCCCCTCTGGACTCAGCTTCACCACCAGCCTCCCTAGATCCGTCCAGAGCTGCATCCACTCCTCTTGCGCTCAAATGGCATCACATTTGAAAGGTATTTACCTTTCTCATTTATTTATTCTACAAATGCCTGGCAAGCAGCTTCTCAGTATCTAGTACTTTTCCAAGAGCTAAGGCTGCATCAGTGAATAAGGCAAAATCCCTGTCCTCGAAGCACTTAAATATGACATTGAATAAGTAAATCTACAATGTGGTGACAAATGCTCTGAAGGAAGATAGAACTGGATATTGTAACATTATGGTACAGGGAAGCAAGCTATATGAGGTGATCAGAGGAGCCTTCCATGAGAAGGTGACATTGAACAGAGACCTGCATGATGTGAGGAGCAAGCCAAATGGCTCTGTGCCACATTGCACTCTATTTGAATTTTGTATTCATTTAGCTGTCTTTCGCTAGGTTACCTGTCTGGAGGACTGTCTGGATTTCTTGTTGCACAGAAGGTGCTTGAGTTGAAAGCAAAAAGGGAGGGAGACTTTGTAGGGCAGGAGTGGGCTGGGTAGGAAAATAGAGGGACCACTGGGACAGACCTGCCCTGATATCTGGTGCTTTGTCTCCTCTTGCCTTCTTGGCCATTCATTGACTTCTCCCACCAAGCAGTGCCTTCAATGAGTTCTTTCCTGGGCTGCATATTTCACTTGGGAAAAAATGAAAAGAGGAGGAATACCAACCTCTATACTCCACTGCAGGGTGTTTTTGCCATTTTAGCAGGGGAAAGGAAGCGGGTGTTAATAAACTCAGGGACAAGGGAATAATAAATGATCTAAAATCGATGCTGAGAAGGACATAGGATGCCTGGTGGGGCTTAATCAAGGGCAATGTAGCCGAGAGGAATTACTGAAACCCAAATGAAGGCCAAATGTGATGGTAGGACAAGAGGAAAGTAAAAGGAAATAGAGGAAAGAACTAGGAGACAAAGGACATTTATAGAGGTCTAAGTATAGGAATGTGCATAATGTAAATATATGTATAATGATAGGGAAATAGATCTATGTACATATATTTATGTTAAGTATTAAGGAAGCAGACAGACATTGGGCCTCTACTCAAGTACTCCTTCAACACAAGAATACTTTGTTCTAATAACCCAGCATTCTGTGATGTTCACCCTCTCGACAAGATCACTGAAGACAAAATGGATGCATAAGCATATGTGGTGAGGAAAGCTGATGGTTCCCAGCTATCCAAAGATATACTGTCTGGTGTCTTCAAGGCTTGAAAATAAGAAAGCAGCCATCTAGCAGGGAAGCAAATAAACCCAGATAGAAGAAGCACACCAGCCTGTGTGATCATGAGGTGTTGACGGGATCAGGTATCAGGTATTAAAAGATCCCAAACAAACAATTATATCGATGTGACTGAGAGGGGTTGGAGTGGAGACCCAAAGCCCATCTGTAAACAATTGGACATCCACCACAGAAGTGTTAAAAGGGACAATTCAACCAGAGTGCAGTATAGCACCGATGAAACACATCATTCCTCTAGTTCCTGAATGCTTCCTCCCCCCAACTGCCATCACCCACTTCTACCTTACAAATCCAGCTAGACCAGAGTACTTTGGTACAGATAAGAGCTCTTGACACATGGGATTCAGGATAGATAAAACCCTCAGGAACAGTAGTGGGAGTAGCGATATCATGAGGGTAGGGGGATGTGAGGGGGCGTGGGCTGGGGGAGGAAAGGGGGAACCATCACAAGGTTGAATATATAGCCCACCCCCCAGGGGGACGAATAACAGAAATGTGGGTGAAGGGAGACAATGGATGGTATACGACACAAAATAAAAATAATATATAATTGATCAAGGATTCATGAGGGTGGGAGAGGGAGGGGGGAAAAAGAGGAGTTGATACCAAAGGCTCAAGTAGAAAAAAAATGTTTTGAAAACGATAATGGCAACATATGTACATGTTCTTAATACAATTGAATGTTGGATTGTCATAAGATTTATAAGAGCCCCCCAATAAAATGATGAATAAAAAGAAAAGAAAATGTTGAGGATGAAAGATAGTTTTTCCTCAGATGAAAACTAGTGCCTTAACCACACCTGGTATGGATCAGGTCTGAGAGACATGAGAACTCAAGTGGACTGT